TACCGTTGTTGGCGCCCACGTACGTCGGCCTCGGTCCATTCGTATTCTGGAAATCAGAAAGAAAATCTTGCTTGAATGAGAGTTTCCTCGTTTTGTCTCCTTTTATTATTTCCAATAAACACACATGGCTTTTTATAGCGGCTGTAAGAAGGACATACGGAATAATTATAGAAAATTGATAAGATCTAAAGATTTCAATTGAACGGAACCATTTTTTCGCTCTTGTTTCAAGTAAAAGTGTAAGTTTTGACAACTTTGAAAATATTTATACTCGTTGATTATATATCAAAATATTCTGAGAGTTATTTTCGGAATAGGTAACAAAGTAAAAATTCGTTTAACAAAATTCTAAAGATGATATAAAAAAAGAAAAGATAAATGTAGTATGTATATTATCAGCCTTGAAGACGATACCGTTTAAAATGATTTGTTAAGGATGTAAAGTGTACCGCTTATCGGTGAATTTTCTGGTTTGAGGTTCAACAGTTGGACGATGATACGCTCTTATCTTGCAATGAGTCGATCGGTCATCGTTAATCACGTCGATCTGTCTCTTGGGAAATAAAGAAAGACATCTTCGATTCCCAAAACAATTATCGCTGCTCTTGTGTTAACGACCAATTCGTTAACAATAGTTCAGTAAACACGTGTATACATATTATGTATTTGTTGGTATTAAAATAAAAAATAAATTACGTAAAATAAATTATTAATAATAAAAGTGCCTAATATTCATTCAAAACTGCTAGAAAAGTACTCAAGTGTAAATGTAATTTGTCGAATTTCTTCAAACTTCTCCTTTGAACGAACAAAGTGCTTGGGTAAAAATATAATTTATCTTTTAATGATTTAAATATAGATTCGAAATAAAAAAAAAATAAGATAAAAGAAAAGAATTTAAAATTTATAATTCGTAAATATAATTAAGAGAAAAAAATTTAATTTTTCGTTCCTGACATAATCCGTCGTGATTGCAGCGACCGGACCTTTGATATCGATGCAACGATTCTGCGTCGGTCTCTATCGATTTTCTCGAGCGAAACGACGTACTATTTTAGAAAGCGATCGCGTTCCGCCGGCTCCGTAGTTTCCCGTACGTCGGCCGTGCACGCCGATAAGAAGAGAGAAAAGGAGAGAGAAAGAGAGAGAGAGACCCCCACCCCCCGTTATCGTTTATCAGTGACCTCGCGCGGTCACGCCTCTCTGATAACGAGAAAGAACGTCGGTCGGTCGGTCTCTACCTCGACAGCCTCTTCGTCTTCGAATCCTTCATTCCCGCGATAGTTCATCGCGATCTACCTTTCCAATAGCATTCAAAATTCACATTCTGTATCGATTGCATATCTATCGGCGTCGTCACACGTCGCGCAACTTTCCCATTTTTCGACATTACATATCTTCGGCTGAACCTGAAAGACTCCACCGAAGCGACCACTAAAGGTAACCGAGGAAGAAGATGTGAGTTTGTCGCTTCATTTACATTTCTCTCCAAAGGCTCCGCTCCTCGAACGACTCCGCGTCGAATTCGTCGCTCGGAAGCGCCGAATATTTCTTCCGCGGAGAAAGAAAGAGATCGCCTTGCAGATCGGATGAAACATCCACGGTCCAAAGTGCGCTCGACGAGGGACACCCTGTGTATAGTTAGATAGATATAACTAGTGACGCATCGGCAGGGCGATACGAAATCAGACGCATCGGCAGGATGATTCGGTCGTGGGTAATACCACATCGACAGTCACACGGTATGACGCGGCCCTTGACGATGGCGAAATGCACAGTGGTGCCGTGATTCGGCTACAGACAGAAGGAGAGAGATCCGACCGCCCAACCGATCGACCCGACCGACGACCGGATGTTACTTCCTGCTCACCACATCTGTCCCGCGATCATCATTGTAATGCGAACTCTATCCGCCCGCTCTTTCGTCTTCGTCTCTTTTCTGAGCTTGCCTTATTATCCTCGCGCGATACTCCTGGCACTTTTCTCGGTATTCAATCGCGTGGTGAAAATTATTTTTATTACCTCAAAATAAATCAATTTTTTTTCTTTGTAACCAATTGCTTACGTGCGACAATTGTACACGTATTACAGCAAGTTCGGACTGCCTATTTTGACTCTGCTCTTCCTCGCACTCGTCCCCAGCAGCATGTCGAGGTATGTCAGAATGTTCTGGATAAGAGACCGAGCGATTAGGCATCTCGCACTAATCACATGCCGTTTTATCGTATCTCTTTCATTTTATAATGCATCGTCCATACCGTGTCATAGATATGAGAAACAAGCGAATGCGTTTATCATATCAGGCGCGGCCATTATCGTACCTCTAATTGGACGCGCACCACGCGAGCATATATCTCGCGCTTTTTTCTAAGGATGACGAGAAGGATGGATCCAGGATGCGTGCGCCACATATACCGGAGAAATATACCTTAGTGTACGTACGATCTCTCGTCTGTTCTCGGACGTGTCACGCTCTATTAGCGGGCGGACATGCGCCCGAGATGTCCCGGAATCCGCGCGTTTTCGGTCTTCTTTTACTGTTATCTTTGAGAGAAATTTCTGCATTACACGGCACTAACGAACGCAGCAGGCTTAAACTTCTCAAAGATTTATAACATAAATGCACAAATGTGATCACATCGCACAAGTCGAAATTATCTGTGTTGTGTGACTACTCACTACTTTGCCACAGGCATTTCTCAATCATTTTTTTGAGAAAATTAGATTAAATTATTAATAATCTTAAATTAAAAAATATAACGTGCGTATTCATAACAAGTGATTTTTATTATCTAGATTTTATTTTTAGGTAAAGATACATATTTTTTTAATTCAATTTTAATAATGTCACGCGTATAATTTCAATATTTCAACAATTATCGGCGTAAACGTCCGTCAGAGTTTAGACAGAGTTTAGAATGTATTATTCGCGATTATTCGTAATTTTTTTTCTACAGAATGCCGGTAGTATCGTCCCTAATGAGAAGATTAATCTTGTATGCATCGCAAGAGCATCTCGGACACCCAGTGTGTCGTGGTCGCGCGTATTCTTTCAAGGTGAAGAAACGGTATGCGTGGTATGCGCGCACTCGCGCGTGCATACGGCGAGCGAGAAGGAACTCTTTCGCGCACGCAGAGACAGGTAAGCAGGCAGATGTGCGAGCGATGCAGTTGCAGAAATTGCTCCGCGTTTTATGGTCAACGCGTTTCATTCGGGAGTAATTTTCCTGAATAAATGAGGAGAGAGAGAGAGAGAGAGAGAGAGAGAGAGAGAGAGAGAACAAGAGCGCGCGCGAAAGCTAGAATTTTACTCACGCTAGAATATATTAAACGATCGAGGAATTTAATCTGCGATCAACGAGCTGATTCTCCTCCTTAATTTGAGAGAAAAACAAAAGATAAAAATCTATTCGTGTCGACGAAGATAAGACCGACTCGAATTATAAACTCAACGTGATTTCACCGCATCCGATTTTAGCCGACGTAGATAATTCGACAGTTTCGCAGTCGACGAAGTTAATTTTCCAATGGTTAAGGCGGCAAAAGTGGGCTGCGTCTCACGCGTCAGACGCTCTCGTAAATGGCTGTAATTCACCGCCGCGCCGTTTGCACACGTACGGACACGTACGAAAGTCCGTCGAGTCCTCGAGGAAGGCGGCGAGGCGCGCCGAGGCTCGTAATCAAGTCGAGCGAGAGTGCCACGGCGCGGCGCGCCGTCGCCGCGCCGGTGCATCCGTCGCCGAGGAGCGGCAGCGGCGGCGTGCATCGCCACGGGAAGGAAAGCTATGCGCGTTACCCGCGTTTCCCGAACGGCACGTAGCGTCTACGTGAGCGGTGGCGTGAGTGCGCGTGCGGCCGCTGCATTGGCCGCTGCATGTATGCGGCTCGCGGAAGGACGATGCATAACATGACGCGCGATGCAAGCGGATGAGAGCAACATCGATGAGAGCGAGCGTCGCCGATTGATTGATCGATTGATTGAGTGATTGATCGATCGATCGATAAGGACGACAGATAAGGACGACATCGACCAATAATTAAACGCTCTAATCATTCTTGCAGCGATAATTCTCTCCATTAGTGGCTGTCTGTCGTAATAAACGAGTGATAAACTATTATCGGAATCTACGCTATTTCAAATTCATTTTATTGATTAGTAAAGACAAATTCCAGAGAGACAAAAAAGTTTTTTTTTTTTTTTAAATAATGATTGTTAGTGCACGTCAAAAATTATATATTAGAATAGTGTGATATCGGGTAATAGAATCTCTCAACATTGTAAAAGACTTTGATGATGAATATTAATATTAGCGATTTTATTGTTAAATTTTATGCGATTAAGGATTAATATGTACCCGTCTACATATGGATCTCTCAAAGGAATACCTTTCTAAGAAGTTTAAGAAAAGTTCTCGCCTTAAGAAAGGAAAAAAGGAAACAAACAGAAACGTGACTGGCTGACTGCCTGGGCGTCTCGGATTTGACACCCTTTATCCGAGTTTAGGCTGGCGGCGGATATTATTAGCCGACGTCGCATGCTTCCGTCTCCTTATAGCGCACAGGGGACAATGCTGGCGAGAGATATATTGGTATTATAACGCCGGCTTTTGCCGATTTTGCGAGACCCAAAGTCAAACCGACGTGATTACGAGTTCGAATTTCAATGATATATCGAGGATACTAAACGTAAATAAATACTATAAATATACTGAAGATGATTAAAGAATTTCATAAACACA